CAGGGCCTTAAATTTTCCATGTGCACTGGGTGCCACCAATCATGTAGTTGACCATGCCTGACCTGATCACCAGCAGACAGCTCTGGGCTTGACAGAGCCATGTGAAGCCTGAGGAGGGCTGCCTGAGCTCAGTGTACAAATGTACCAAGTCCACTGGAGCTGAGTGAAAGATCTAGCCGCCTCTTCATCTTTCCTTCCACTGTTAAGTATCATGCTGGGCTGTGTGACAGGGTGCACATTACTTGGGCTTTCTGGGCTCCAGAATATTATTCTGTTCTGGCATAAAAAATGAAATAACATCAATAAGTACTTGGCAGAGGTACAGGAACCTAGCAGATGTTCAATAAATTTTAGCTGCTACTGTTACTGTTTGCTACAAAGTCTGAGAGTAATTACAAAAAGTATTTTGATGACTCATTGGAAGGACATGCATTCTAATAAATTCATTTGGGGTTTTGTCTCCAGGTGCTTAGGGTCCAACTCACTAAAATTTTTAGGAGAGCTCAGGTAGGGGAAAACAATCTATTGAGAAGGGATCTTGGCTTTGTTCCTCATTGACAGCATTCCCACAGCAGCTGTTTTGCTGTTGAACTAAAGTAGAGCGGGTGCCACCAGGTAACAGAGACACCAGAAAGACAGTGAGTACTGAGCTGGAGTTGCCAGTACTAGCTTCCTGCTGGTGACTGTCACCAATGCTGATGTTCAAGACTCCTGGACTTAGGCAGCCAGGGACCCCTGTAACACATCTTTGCACTCAAAGGAAGCTGCTTCAGTGTTCTACCACTAATTTTTTTCACAAAGCATTATTTCCATATAAATCTTGAGCCCTGGCTGTACACTAGGTTCTTTTTATCTTCTCTCCAATCCTTACAAACATCAAGTAAGGCAACCACGTCTGCTTCATACTGATAGATAAGAAAACTTGAGGCTCAGCTAAATTAGTGGTTTAACCAAGATTTTTCAGGTAGATCATGAGGCTAAGGCTTAGGTTTCATTCTCTCTGGCTGCAAGGTCATGCATTCTTATTTCAATCCACCGGAAAGTTTGTCTCATAGCTATAATAAATGACCTCAATGCAGGAGGGAGTAATAACAGCAAACACTGTGCAGCTTTGATACCAGGCAGTTTTAAGTATTAAAACTTGAAAATATTTATGTAGAGTTACAACATAAGTGTATTTGACTGTAAACAATCTTTGAATTCCATGCATAGTGTTTTCACAACATGCATTTTTTCACAAACTTTCTGAAGAACATTCCTATTGACTCATTTAATGTTTCAGTGGGAATTACTGTGAAGTGGGAATTACTGCATCCATTTTACAGATGAGGAAATTGGGTCAATGGGACTGTAAGTCAACTGGACCAAGTCACACAGCCAGTAGCAAGTGACAGAGCCAGGGTATAAATAAATGACAACATGGCTTCATATTCTCTGGTTCATTAGTGGGCTAAGGAGTCAGAAATTCTGGAATTGTTTTAAAGCGTCAATGCAAAAACATATACCATGAACTTCTAAAATAATCTACAAAAATATTTACATTCAAATGGTGTCTTTCAGAACAGGTCTTCAAAGAGGGAGGTGCCTTTCTCTGAAGGGAGGAGAGAACCTCCACTTTGACTATGACCGTGTCTAAACAAGATAAGAGTCGGAGAACTCAAGGGGCTTCCATAGCCTTGGAAACTCATAACTGGTGCATAGGGAGATTACTGATGCCATAAACAGGAGTGTCAATTGGTAAAGTCAACAACAGGAGTCACTGTGCACTTACTCCTCATGTAGGATCTCGGTCCTTAACGTGCTGTACACTGAGGCTTAATGCTATAACGAGTACTCAAACAGTATATTTCACTTTGTGTTTCTATGGGGGTGCAAACGACTGAAATCTTTACTTAATGTACACTAAACTGATCTTCTGTAAAAAAAAAAAAAAAAAAAGAAAGAAATTTTCAATTCCCAACTTGACTCTCACTGGGATTAAACATGACAATAGGTCTGATCTGATTTCATCATCATTTTAAAAAAATCATCTATTATTTTTCACTTTATGTTTCTGTGTGGGAGCAAACTGTTGAAATACTTACTTAAGGTATACTAAGCTGATCTTCTGTATATTAAGATAATCGAAAATGAATCTTGATGTGAATGGAAGGGGAGAGGGAGTGGGAAAGGGGAGGGTTGTTGGTGGGAGGGACGGTGTGGGGGGGGAAGCCATTGTAACCCATGAGTCGTACTTTGGAAATTTATATTCATTAAATAAAAGATAAAAAAAAAAATAAAAGAAAAAAAAAAAAAAACAAATGGTGTCTTTCAAATACTAGCCAAATGTTTTTGTAATTTCTTTCAGAGCCTGAAGCAAATGATAACAATGAGACAGACTGAGTATCCCTAATTTGAAATGGTTGAGAGCAGGAGAGGTGCAGATTCCATACTATTTTGGATTTTGGAAAATTTGTATATACATACTGAGGTATTTTGGGTATAGGACAAAGACCCTGCCACTGGTCCAGCCTAAACGCAGGCCATTTCATTATACACACAATAGGCATGTTTGTGGGGGGATCTCAGTGTGCATGGAAAGGTACATCCCAGCTGAAGAGGGCTGGGCAGGGTTTTTTTCCTGTGGGAACACAGAAGGAGTTGTGTACTGTGTGTTTGCATTTTGACTATGATCTGTCATAGGAGGTCAGGCGTGGAACTTTCCTCTTAAGGTGTCAGGTCAGCATTCAAAATGTTTTAGATTTTGGAACATTTTAGATTTTGGATTTTCAGATTAGAGATGCTCAGCCTGTAGTAATAAAAATAGCAGCTCGATTAAGTTTTATAACTATTGTGTGCATGGCCTTGTGTGGAAAGTGTTACTTATGTCATCTCATTTACTATGTATGATAGGAGGATCAACAATCCATGCAACAGAATAAATGCTGAGGCACAGAGAACGTGAACAACATTCTTCCTTTCACAAAGCATTTCTATGGTCCCTGGGTTAAACACAGGCTGAATTCAGAATCCACACTCTTTACTATTACACAAATACTCCATTCTTTAAGATTTTTATGACAGAAAGCTTTATCTTCTGAAAGTAGACTGAACTTGTGAAAAACGGGCAGAAATTATTTGTGACTCAACACTAAGTTTTATAAACTTCAGCTGCTAGGGATTAATTTTCCATCAAAGCTATCATTTGATGAAAATATAGACTACTTTCCTTTTATGATCTATATATTTTCTACACTTGATCTTAGCCAAAAGGCCGAGAAGCGATGATCTATATATTTTCTGAAATATATCCTCCTAAGACCAATTAATATGTGTTTGGGCAATGACCTATCTTGGTAATTAGAGTTTCCTAAGGTGCTGACTTTGGAGGGGGACTCTCAGGAGCACTTACAATCATAATCATGCTCCAAATTTGATGCTGAACATTTATAATCGTGACTAGATGCCTGCCCTGTGCCTTCTGGGATCATGGCACAATGCTGGGAAGGTGCTTAGTGTACCAATCTATAATGATTATAACCCAGAAAATTGCTTCCTCATTTGTAGCACTTTTACCGTGAGCAGTACTTAAGTAACTTTCAATGCATGGTTCCAGAGAACCTACATTGTATGAGGGTATTTCAGAAAGTTCATGCAAAATGTGTATTATGAAAAAAAATCTACGCATGGATTTCAAAAACTTTTTGCATCCAAATAAACTCAAGTTTTAATTCCATTTTTCCAGAACTTTCTGAAATACCCTCATTCATGGTTCAGTCTCATATTGTAGACAGGGGCTATACTAAGTTGGGGACACTTAGTCATCTTATATAGGCAAGCACCTTAAGTGAGGGTGAGGAAGTTGACAAATCTCCATTTCCCTCAGTTCTGTGTTGGCCAAGAATAATAAACCCATTCTTCATTTTCTCAAGCCTTGCTGGACAGGTTGCAAGCTGCAACCTCTTATCTTTCCAATGTTAGCTCCAACTTGGTTGTAATTTAACGAATAGCTCAAGATTGATTCTTTCAGGAAAGGACAGAGCGAATAGCTTGGTCATTCTTGATAAAGTACTTGTTGCAGCCGGAGTTGGGGATAGTAGCAAGGAAAGCAGAGGAGAAGAGAAAAACAAGAAGAGAGAGGTGGCTTTGTTGTACATCTTTAGACTGGGAGCCCTCTTATATTTTGCAGTATGCTTCTCTAAGCAAAATTTCCCCTCCAAACTCAGAAGATTCCATGGCATGCCTAAGAGCAGCCGCTTCCAACTGCTCCAATCTCAGTTAACACACACACACACACACACTCTCTCTCTCTCTATGTTGGAAGCAATCTTCTTGGACTATAATAGCATTTCTAGAAATTCCAAAACACATGTTATACTTTTCTCCTGGAAAAATCTCTCAGCCAAGTAGAAAGTTTTCTATGAAGAAAGTTAAAATTTAGAAGTGACACTACTAAAGGAGAAGTTGTATGTTTTCTAAAGCCTCTTCTGTCCCCTAAACGCTTTTCATATAGGAACCCTCCATTGAGGACTTTATTGAACACAGCTGACTAGAGAAAAAGCATTCAATGTAGATGGCAAGACCTCTGTTAGCACAGGGAAGGAAAGAGAGTGGGATGATCATTTCTACTTTGAACTGAGAGACTTACTATTTACAAACACAGCGAAACAGAAACATGAAAGTAACATATTTTCACCAAAAAGGGAAAGAAATGGATTGAGAAAAACATTTTTGCAGATAACATAATAAATAGTGGGTGATGAAAGAAAGCTATTTGCTTTGTTATCATTAATAACAGTATGTCTGATTTCACTAATTATTTAAAACCCCTAGAGGAAGGTTTTCTTTCCTGCATTTTACACAGGAAAAGCTGAGACACTCTAGAGCAAGGTAATTAGAGTAAGTCATCTGTCAGGATGTGGCAGAGTTGAGATTTCACCCAAGACTAAATCTCACACTCTCAACCAATCCTGTGTCAGACACGAGTTACACTGGCATCGACTGAATAGCTTTTTGATTACCATGGCTTTGTTGGAATGACCTCCTCCTTGGAACTCAATGGTCCCAAAAGCATCCGTTGGGCTGAGTTGGGTGTGTTTGCTGATGGACCACTTCTCAGACTGGATATCATTTCGGGACAGGCGACTTTCATTTTTCTCATTCTGAAGCACGGAGATACTGGGTGTGAGGCCGACATGCTGGCCGATCAGACGTCCACAGCAACACCTGTGATGGGAGAGGGATGGTGGACCCCTGGCGTTAGCCAGTGTTGGCAAACACACTAAAGGCTGGAGGATTCTGCAGTGCTTTGTCAGCCCACTTCAGTGAGTTCTCGGCGAAAACACCTTCATGCGGCTGTTATCAGGCAAATGGTGAACTCAGGCTTTGTGTGACACACGTATCTTTTTTTGTTTCCAACACTTCTCCATTTTCCTTCAGCTACATAAGCTTGAATATGCTTCCTGCCCTTCTCCATCGTCCTCGTTCACATATGGCCTGCACTTCAAGATAGGACACCCGCAAAACAAAGTTCTCTAGATTTTTCTATTCTTACAGCTCTCACCTCTCCAATCTGGCATTAAGGAAGTGGAAGAGCTTAGAGGGAAGCATTTTAACAAGCACATTTGAATGAGAGATCCCATGTCTATGTGAGTCTCAACCTAACTCGTCTCTTCTGGGTTGACATTGGCCGTCAAATATCTAATTCTGAGATAAAAATGTGCAGGCTTAAGCATTCTTAAATGATGAAGAAAATATTCATGAGACATGTGAAAACATTGTATCATATGTCTTGCATTCATTACCACACTAGTAATAATAGGTGGAATACTTGTATATAACTAATGCTCATTAAACACTCATAATTTAGCATCCATTTTATGAGATGTTAGTTTCGAAGGTTAGGTCATTTGCCCAAGGTCACATTGTTGGTGTCTAAGACTCTATTATCCATATTTTCAATTACTTTATTAAATTAGCTGTTAATAAGTGACTCTCTATGCATGAATATATGTGTATGCACATCTCTCTATATATATTTACATATGCTACTTTACCCCACCTTATACCTTGTTAATCTTCAGGAAGGTAAGCCAGCTGCTAACAATGAGCTTGGATGGGAATCTGAAGGTCTGTAGTACATGTGGTAATCAGATAGGAGTCTTTTATTTGAATGCATGTTGCTGTAAACTAAATATTTTCACAAAATACTTCCAAGGGAAAATCAGCAACAAAACAAAACAAAAATGTGATTAATTCTTTCCATAATGGTCTATGTTATTCTGCACAGGCTCTTAGACTAAGAATTAACTGTAGGGAAGGCATTTTATATAGTGCCTATATGATTGCTTCAAAAACATCCAACAATATAAAAAATGACCTTTAAAGTTGTTTCCCTTGCAGTGGGTAATAATCGGTACTGTTTTATAATTGCTACTTCACATTCTGAAGACATTAGAGACAGTGAGATGCTTACCTATGGGGGTCTTTGGTGCTGGGTATGATGTGAACACATTCTCTTTTATAAAATGCTCTTTCTATCCAGGATTTCTGAGCCTGGAAAAAAAAGAGAGGAAAGGTGAACATAACCTTTAAATATTGTTGACTAGGAAGCAAAATTTTATAATCACATAATAGCCTATATTATTGTAAACTGAATTGAAATTGAGTTATTCAACATAAATACTGCATATAACAAAATCAATTACTTCTAGAACCTGCTGATTAGGTTATTTAACATAATGTCAGAGTCAAAGGAAATAGTCATTATTTTTAAAATATTAGTGATGGAACTGTGCATAAATCCACAATAATTTTTGAAGACCAGAAAGTCATTGCCATTTACAGATATAATTGACTTGGAGAGACAGAGCAGTAAGTTTATAGAAAACAACCTTATAGAAAACAACTACTCAGTGGTATCAAGAAAGGCACCTAAATAATTATAAGGTTTTCAAGCTAATATCTCCATTAGTTTTCCTTCTAGAAGAAAGGAAAAATGGCAGGGGAATCACATAGCTCAAAGCTCTAATCCATCACCAGGCTTTTTCTAAAATCCAAATTAGCAATGCTTAAGTACAGAAGGAGAAAAAGTTAATGAAAACATCAGAAAGAAAAAAAAATGTCTTTATCATAGTCCAAAATTTCACAGGTAATACCTTTGGAAGGAAAGAAGATGGCCCATTATTTCTGCATCCCACATATCTTTAAGCAGAGCAAATTCAGCTTCTTACAATGGGTGTTACTGGGACTCTCCTCCCAAAAGTCCTGCCCCTGAGATTGGGTTCTCAGACAGACAAAGGAGGTTGCAGCAAACTGTAGATCTTTGTTCCAATGCAGAATATTCATCATGCCCCTTTCCCATTTCCTTTACCAGCATTTGAAATAGCAGAGGAGCCTCCCATGGAATCCAATTGGCTGCTCAGAAGATTCCTTCTCCAAGCATTTCAGATGGAAGTTGCTACAGCAACCTGTGATGTTATTTCTATGTGGTATCATCTTTGCTGTAACCCAGCATCAGTCCCAACTTCTTAGCCTTAGAACACAGAGCCAAAGCACCACTGAGCTGTCTACCTGATCTGCCTCCACAACTGGTGTTAACTGTTACTAACCACTATTTGTTGGCAGTAACCACACTTGACTCCGGCACCCACTCAAATGTCTGCCTATGCTGGGTTAACTTCTGCTTTGCCCCAGTGTCTCAGCCTCGCATCCCCTCCTTTCTCACAGTGGAGGGCTATGCAATGGTGTGGGACTGCAGATGGGCGTTTTCTAAGACAACAATGCATATTTTATAAATAGCAACATGGGGGGTGGTTGAGTGGCCCAATGGAACTGCATCCGGTTTCATTCATGGTCACAATGAGGTCATAGAATTTCTGGGTCTTCAAACATTGCACCCACACTGCCTCAGAGATCCTGGGGTCCAGGTGGACCTCTCTACATACATCAAACAAAGGGAGCATAGTCCAATCTTTTTGCCAGAAGGAAGTGAGAAAAGTCCCACCATCATTTTCCCAAGATTTACCTTCTTAAACAGGTAGGAAGGATTCTATCTTTGCAACAGAAATGAGCTTAGTGGCATAGATAACCAGTCTTTATCTTTGTAGAAAGCCTGTAAGTTAAACTATTCATAGGCTCCGATTTTTCCCAGACACTGAATTCTTTCACTGATACCATCTCTTGGCACACAGACAGGCACATGTTCTTCCCTGGGTATTTGAAACCAACTTTGCCCACACCATGGGGAACAGAAGGGGAGAAGGTACTTTCTTTCTTTCATGGCCCACTTTGCCAAGCCTTCATGAGGATCATTTGGGGGAGCATCTGGGAATTTCAGGGAGTGCTGATCAATTGTCCCTTAGAGAAACTGGGAAAAGCATAAAGTGTGCAGGTAGAAAGAATGGTGTGAAGTTGACTCTGCAGCATGGAGCAAGCACACAAGTGTTTTGATCCTCAGTTTTCCTCTTCTATTAAATAGGTGCAGTAGTAACACCTGACATGGAGCACAGCTATTATTTTCTGGGTATCATGCTTTCACTCCAAGAAGAGGTAACAGCCCTGTGTTCATTGATTCTGGGACTAAAATTTCAAAAAATTTCAGAGGCAGCTACTACAAAATTCTTGGGCACAGAGGTGACCTGGGCTCTTTCATGTTGGGGATGATAGGTGCCCAAGAGGTCCGGATGGTCACTGACAGGGTACATAGAAAAGTTAGTTAACCTCTCTAAGGCTCTTCCATAACATGTGAATAATCACAGCTACTTGGAAGGAGTGTAAGAATCAAAGCAAGTGACTCAGATACAGCACCTGACTTATGAAGCAGAAGCACCACAGGTAACAGCAACAGCTAACATTTACCCAGGGCCCTTCATGTGTTTAGCATTGTGCCATGTTTGTATGATCTCCTTTGATCCTCCTAAGACCTCTGGGAGGAGGGTACTCCCATGGTATCCATTTACCAAAGGAGAAATGGAGGCAGACAGACGCAGCAACTGTGCTTTCAAGCCAGGGCCTGAACTTTAGCCATCTGACCCCAGAGTTCATATTCTTACCCACTCTGCTAACTTGCCTGTCCAAATGAACTGTGACCGACCAAGTCCCCTGGATATGGGCAGTGCCATCAGGGCACGCCTGGGAGCACGGTGGTACCTGCCAAGAGTTGGACGCCTAGAGGCCACTCACGTCTTTTACCTTCTCGTTTCCCTCATGCAATCCTCACCTGTGCAGTAATGAACACTCTCTTATCTCTTCTTCATTTCTTGAGGAAAAGGATGGGGTGGGGCATTCAGAAGACACCAGAATACGAGAAGGAAGTCAGTCAAAGGGGTGGCATGGTCATTATCACACGTCCATGAAAGAAACGTAATTGCAACAGGACTCAACTTGAGTATTTGAGGGGGCCGTGATGCATGGAGTCAACTTTGCAAGGACACTTTCATTCTTTCTTTTGCTCATGGATGCTGGTTTTAACCCAGAAGGCCATGGAAGGTTCAGTGTGATGGTTTGAGGTTAGAATTACTGCTTATGCCAGCTGGGTTGTCAGCCCTTTAGTAAGAGCACTTTGAGTTGTGTATGGCTTAGCATCTTAATTACTTTCTCAAAGGTGAAGAGTTACCTCACTGTTAGCAAGAGGCTTGAGAATCACTCTCTATTTCTTATTATTAGGCAATGAATCATTTCCCTTGCCAAGGCAAACACCATTGAGAGAGACAGCAAAGGGAAATGTAAGACATCTTTCCACCATTCATGACTGTGATTGTACGTGGGAAGTTTAATGCATAACAGAAAGAATGCGCGTTTCACACACGAATTGGAACCTCTGCAAACTATCAGGCATAATTTACTTTGTGGATTTTGCTTTATTGTGCCTGTATTCAGGTCTGTAATGGGACAGATATTAAATTTTCCAAATTATTTTCTCGGAGAAGGCATAGTTGATGTATAATCATGGTTTAACTTGTTCCCAACTAATTCTTTCTTCTTGTGTTCAAAGGCTTTGAACCACTCTGCATGAAGCTTCATATACTTCGATATCCAGCTATGATAACTCAGGATGGTTCTCCTGATTATTAGAAAGCATGAAATAGTTTTGACATGCCGTTTTTCTAGTTGATCTTTTAATACTTTTATAATGCAAAGATTCAATGGACAGACTGTCCTAAAATCTTTTCTTTTTAAATATGCTTCGGAAGTCTCATGCATTCTTGCAAAGGATGGCTTCTTCTTACTCCTCAGAAAATCACTTTTTTGCATTCTTTTCTAAAGGTGGAATGGTCACACAACCATGACTGAGGTTGTGAAGGGCTGCTTTCTTTCTTGTCTTTCTGCATTATCAGTCATGTGTGATGTGTAATGGGGAAGTGTTCTTCAAAGGCTAATCATTAAAGGACATCTTATTCAAAACAAAATTGAGGACATCCACATTTTAGACAAAGTCTAATGATTACCCTCGAAGAATACAGTATTCATTTTGAGGTAAATGAACAGTCAGCAACACATCTAAATGACAAAAACAACAACCAAAAAACAGTAAATGTTGCCTTAAATAGAAAAAAATTAAATTCTTTCATTTAAGAGGGTTTCAATTCTATTTCACAAAGCCTCTGCCACCAACACCACACCATCTCCAGCTTACTCTGAATCTTCTCTGTGTGCCCTCCCTTCCAGCTACGGGATCAACAAGCTCTCCTGGTATCACTCCTTTCCAGCACATTCATACAGTGTGTCTTAAAATCCTACTCCAGAAAGCCATCAGAAGTGCTATAGCAATCCACTTTTTCCCAGGCCAGGTCAGCAAAACAAACAAACAAACAAACAAAAAACAAAAAAAACCCAACTCAGGTTAGTAACCGCAAGACCAGAAGAAGAAGAGTTTGCTAACTTTGTGGGAACAAATGACCAGGAAAACTTCCCCACGCTTCTCCCTGCCACTCTCTCCCATTTCACAGTCCAGCCCACAAGGTCCTGAAGGCACAGGTTCATCTTTGCCTCTGGCTTCCCCTCCACATCCCTGGGTGTCTTTGGGTCTTTCTCCAGGTCCCCACATCCGACACTGAACAGTTGAACAAGAGAAAAGTTAGCTGCGATCGTTTTACCTGTGCGCTGACTCTGGCCACTGGCAACGGCAGTCAGTCCCCCGAGCAGCTCCTGTTGCTTTCATTTTGCTGTGGCTGGGGCTGGTCACGCCGTTAATAATGCTCTTATGACCGCCCACTGGAAAAAAAGTCACTTGCCCGGCTCTTCCCCCCAGAGACGTTTCAAGTAAGCAATGAACTTGGGCAGATTAGCCCCTTGGAATGCGCCACTGCTTTGGGATTAGCTTCACTAAGAATCCCATGGACATTCCCTTGCAGCCTCAAACACTGCTTGATTTGAAAATTTAATCTGACGCCAGAAGAAAAACATATCCCCTGCGAGATCGGATTTAACTGGCACAAGTCCTAACAGGCTCTCAGCCCTCCCCGCCCCTTTCTCTTTTTCCACTTTGAGAGAGTAAAGTGTGATAAGGTGTTCTGGGTTCTGGAAGTTCAACTTTGAAAGCAAATCCTTCTAAA